TCCCCAGGAGGTGTTTGTGCAACTGTTTAATACTACGAGTTTTCTTTACAGATGCTTAAACAGTCGGGTTTGCAGGGGCATATGATGTAGCTGTGGCACAATGAAGGTGTTGGGGAAGCAGGAGGCAGATCCCAAACTATCTTTTTGTCCTTCAAATGTTCAGGGATTAAAAGAAACAAAAAAACAGAAACAAAAACAAAACCAAAAACCAAATCAACACAGTGATTTACTTGGAATATCCCAGAGCCCCTTGGCTGAGTGGAGGAGATTTGGATTAATGGCCTGGCTGCAACGAAGTGCCTTTCCTAAAATGATCCGTCAAAACTGGTAAAATAGGACGAAACACGGCAGGTGAGCAATAATTTCTGCACGTAGCAGAAGTCCAGAATCTGACTGAGAACACTTCAGTTCACAGGTGAGAAATGTTTGCTAGGAGGAGGGGCACTAATGCTTTCAGCAGGCGTTTCATTATCTGTTTGTTCTGCCCGTTTTTTGTGATCAGTAGATTTGGCTTCTGCTGATGGGAAATACCGTTTATTATTCCGAAAACGGAGACTGGATGCCAACGCGCGGCTCCCAGGCCGCCCCGGCAGCGCGACCGCCGTGGCAGCCGCCGTCGGGCCCTCAGGGCCGCGCCGCGCGCCCGGGGCTGAGCCGGCGGCCGCGGGGGCGGCGTGTGCCGGAGCGAGCCACCAGGGGGCGCCCGGGGCCGCGCGCTGCTGCGCCCTGGGCGGGAAACGGCCGAGCCGCCCCCTCACGCCGCCCCCAGCCCCAGCCCGGCCGCTTCTGCCCTTCGTGCCTCCTGTAACGCCACCCCGAGCTGTGAAGACATTAACAGGACGTTCGATCTTGAGGCCTGTGTGACAGGTAGACAAGAAACGCCTCAATGCGGTTAGAGGACATGGCATTTCTGGGGAGGCAATGCCTCCGAGTCGTCTTTGGAGAGTCTCGTGTGGGAGCAATAGTCTTTTTTATTAGGAACAGAACCAAGGTCTGTTTGCCTGGCCCACAATTTTATATCCGCATCAGGGGAAGATCTGGTTGTCAAATACAAAACTGTGTGATACATCATCTCCCTCCCCAAGGCAGAATATCACACTCAGAACAACTGCAAGCGTCCCAAAAGCTCTGGTAGCTGTGGGGTTTGTGTTGGGCTATGCCAGGAAACAAGGATGCCTTTGACTCCCTGAATCGTGGGAAATGTCCCATATGCAAAACTGCATTACTCAGACTGTACTTCCAGTGGGAAAGATCATGAGCTTGCTGCCCGTGTAGTATCTGGGGATTTTTTAAAGGAAAAAAAACAAGTCCACTGTAATGCTAGTAATATGGATAATATTTTTCTGTTTTGCAATTTTAAGTATTGCTTTAATTAATTTTCCATCCTGGTGGCAATACGATCCAAGAGCTAAGTTAAGAGATTCTCAGGAATCCTGCACTAAGTATCCTTCAGCAGTGCTGCGTGCTGGGAACTGTCTCATGAAGCAAAGGGCACTTTGTCCGTGTCTCTGAGACTTGTACCATGAGCTTGTGCCAGTCTCCTCTCCTCCCAGGGCCGCAGAGGAAGAAGCCTCGGTCATCACCCACTTGGCTCTAAACCAGGGGATGTTACTTGAATTCTTCTGCCACCCCCCACAGAGCAACTGGAGGATGTTTCCAGGATGCCTGAATAAATAACACCCAGGTTCAATTGCAGATTGCCTAGAAACTCCCCCCAAAATATTCTTCCTGTGTAGCATGAAGACAGTTTCTCAGCGCTGTTCTCCTTACTCCATTCTCCATGATTATTTAACCATGGTAATACCTAAACAACTGCTCAGTGCTTACAGTGAATCTCTTAAGTGCTGGCTTTACATAGAAAAAAAAGTCTTTCCCTTCAGCAACACAGGTAAGCCCCTGTGAGGGTATGGTTTGAGCTGGGAAACTACTGTTCTCTGTCCTACTTCTCTACTCTTCCCGGTGAGTTTACATAAAAAGCCTAAGAAGCAACACCTACGTGATACTTTGAATTTGCCTGCCTGGAAAAGTCCTTCCAATCATCTTTCAAATGAGTAATAATATTTCTACATCTTCAGCAGTTCCAGAAATGTTAATTCAGATTAAGATACAGCTACAGGGCTCTGGATTAGCAGATTCCCCAGGCAGTGGATTTGCAATTAGACTATAAAGCTGTATCCAGTATGGCTCTCACCTGGAGAAAAGACTGGTCAAACAGCTGATTTACAGTGCTTCCGAAAAAAAAAAAGGGGGGGGTGGGGGGGGAAGAGAAAGTTCATCCAGCTAGTATGGCTGCTTTTGTGCTACAGATTTGTAGTTCCCTGGGAAGCAGCAGTATAGCTGGTCTAACTGTAATTAAAGCTAAAATGCAGTGTTTTGTTCAAATAAATTCTTCAGAAAAGAAACATTTGCCAAACTCTCTTGTGCAGATACTGTCTTTTCAAAATGGAGTTTTAGTTAATTAGCACTTTTTTCAGATAGCCAAGCTTTCTTCCTAGGTGAGATGTTGAGCAAGAGTTACTGGCCTCTGAGGAGCATAGGCTGATGATTATGTTATCTGATCCAGAATATTTCACATATTAAGGCTGTTACAAATTACCATTTTCATATAAACGAAGTGGAAGCTATTCCTTTGCCTGAGTGACTGGCCTGTGTTATCACATTGCTTTGTCTTATGGCAGAGAAGTAATTCTGTTGGTTGGCTATTGGGAAACACACAGTACAGTAAAGTGATTTGAAAAATGCAGGTGACAAAGAAGAACCTAAATGGTGTCATGAATAGTAAAACCAGACTATCTCCATGGTTGCTGGTCTCAGTGAAGAAGCCCCCACCTTATTACTTGACATTAGATATTTTTTAAGTCTAATAGTTCAGTGAGTGCTGAAACAAAGGAAAGAAGAAAAAGTCAAATTAAAATCCCCAATAAAATAACTGGAAACTACTAATAATACTGGAATACTTGTCACTCTCTTCTGATTAGGACTCTCTCCTAGTTGCCACCAAATAAGCATGTAGACAAATCGTTTGGGATCAGAGCTGGTAGGATGAAGAAGGTCTGGACACCAAGAGGGTGGGGACAGTTCCAGAGCAAGTTGTGCTTGGAAGGAGAGGCAGCTCTGACCATGGGCTCTAGGAAGCCTGGGACTGGGAAGAAAGTGAGATTTTAGGGGTTTTGTTGTTAAATATAACTGTGAGTAACACAACGGTTGCCTTTGTCATTTTTCTTGCATAGATGAGGCATGTTGAACAGCTTCCAGGTAGCAGATGGTAAGGATCCCACTTTCATGTTGGTTAGATCTGCGACTTGCTGGAAAGCAGCTTTTCCTTTGTGTTGTAGGATCTGTCGGGGGAGTTCTCACACAGAAAAAAAAAAAAAAAAAAAAAAAAAAGTAGTGGAATGAAAAGACTAATAAACAATTTCCATTATTGCTGGATTGGGAGGTGGATCTTGCCTCAGCAAGGTACTCCAGCACATCTCTGCTCAGAAAAGCTTTCAAGTGACTACTTCCACACTTGCTGATTTGGAGCGGTAAATTCAGATGGCCTTTCCATAAATTTCTGGTTCTTTTAAATTTTCATTTGGATGTTGATAAAGAGTCTTTCTTCATACACATACTTCAAAGTAAGATAGAAATGTATCAGCATTTCCTGTGTGATATCAAGACGGTCACTTCCAGCTGGTCGTCCTTCCACTGTTCACTAATGATTGCCCTAAATAACCCATCTTCTGGGGTCAGCCAAGTTAGAACTAATAGGACAAATAAAAACAGTAGCTCTCAAACTTTCTGCTTGTCTATACAAAGTGTTTGAAGTCATCTAAGCTGTGACAAAGTAAATGCTGCTGTTTTGTGCTTTGCCTATTTGACTTCCACTGCTCAAAGGCAGTAAGAGGATTTCCCAGTAAAAAATAATGGTTGCCCACCAGTAAAGCTTTGCTTGACAGTCAGTTTGTCTAAGAGCTGTTTGCAGTTTGGGATTTGTAGTTCTCTTAACTGTACTTCAGCCTTGGTCCTGGCAAGCCTGTGATGCTGACTGGTAACTGGTGACGTAGCAAAGGTAACAGCCAAGGCAACTGGCAGAATTTTAGGGCTGGTGGCAAAACGTTTATGATTTTAAATGGCAAAATGTGTAAAGTGCCTATGGCTCTATAAAGATGCTGAAAGAATAAATAAAATAAATTGGACCATCTGGCACTCACAACTTCTACACAGTCTTAGCCACTAGTTCATAGGAAATTAAAACATGATAATATTGTCTCTCTCAATGGTTGTTAGGAGTGATCATTGTGAAACACATGTAAACACTGAACTGGAATTTCTGGAAACAGCAGTGTATGCAAATTTGGCAGAAAATCATGGTGCTCTGGGGATGAGAATAACTGGAAGGAGAGCACCAGTCAGCCTGGAAAGAGTCTTGGACCTGCAGGACAAGTAATGGCTGATGCAGAATTGTTGGCTCCCTGTGCCAAGATGCTGGCAGGCTGAAGAGCTGCTGGAGATGTGGCACTGCACTAAGCCATCTAATTTCTTGCAGTCTGTGGGTTTTGATAGGGCTGAGTGACATGATGTTCTGCTTCCAAATTGCCCATTGTCATCCTTTACTCATCCTTCAGAAAGGCGAGTTGTCGGAAGGTTGGAAAGGGTGCTTTGAGTAGCAGGCTCTGGTGATTGTATTAGTAAACTCTTATTGTTTCATAAGGGCTAATGAGTAAATCGTGGAGGGAGCTTGTGTGAACAGGCATCTTATTCAACAGTTTAAAACCTATTGACCACTGGTTTTAGTTGATTTGAAAATACAATATGGTTCTCCTCCCAGTATAATTTTTTAAATTCTTGGCCTATGTACAATAGATCTCAATTTTTTTCTTCTTTATTTGAAGGTTTTCATAACATCAACTTTTTTTTTTAATCATAAATGTCGGTTTTCAGGTTAAGGAGGAAAACATAGTAATTGGAAACCTTTATTAAGTACTAATGCTTAATGTATTAATTTCCTTGTTTAGGTGCATGGAACTTATGAAACGTTGGAAAGGAAGCTCAAAAGGATGCTGCCCAATTTATGCTGAATAGGTACAATTGTTTTGTCACCTACTTGTTAAGTTAATGAGACTGAATATAAATTGTGGAAGAAATGGACACCCCCGAGCTTCTAGTCTGTCTGTGTGTGGTAGATTATGGTAAAAAGCAAAGCTAGTTTTTATCTGAGCAGCAACTTCAGATATAACGTATTCCTCAAAATATATAAGCATATTGATGCAGGATTTACCCTTACATGGGACTTTTTGGCTCAGAATAGGAAACAAAAGGTTTAGCTATCATTTTAAAGTGCATAGGCATAAGGAGCCCAAGTAATATGATCAAAGAGGAGGCTGTGAGACAGAAGAACTTGAGATCCCTTGGTAGCAATTAGAGGCAAAATTCACTGCATGCCAACATAAACCAATGGGACAGATTGGTTTTGCCCCTTGCAGTGGAGTTGTGGCACATGCGTGCACATTAGTGGCATGTCTAAAGAAAGATGTTTTATTTGCTTCCTTCCTTTTATCTTTCTAAGGATGACAGTCATGGCTGAGACTTGTAAAAGGGCCATATTCCCACCCTGGGTCCTTTCTGTACTTTGTGACATGGTGAGAACCTTTCCTCCCAGGCCTTGACTGTGCAGGGTCCAGAAATGCTCCTCAACACTAATAAACTGTTGCTGTATTTCTAAGGATTTCATGTTGCAGTTCTAAAGAAAACTCTTTAAAGTACGATGAAAGCAGCGCAAGTCAAGCTGATGCTTGCAGCTGGAATCCCTGACACAAGCCCATGAGCAGATGCAGAAGTGAGGAGAGCCAAGCTTTCATCCTGCAGTTCCTTCTTTTGCAAGCAGAAGTAGTTGATATCCAGGGGATCTAATAAAATTAATCCTTGGATAGGACTCATTTCATCTAGCTTTTGCTGCCTAAAAATTAAGTGTCTGGTCTTAGCTACATTCAGCAGGCAGCTGAGAGACGGGAATCTCTAGAGACCGCTTCGTTCCACCTTGTTAGATACCTGTCATTAAGTGAGCTGAGAGGAGACCCATCCATCATCAGACTTTCTGAAGAATTAAACTGTTGATATCACAAAATTTACACTTAGTAAACAGGATTGTTTGTAGACAACATTTGAGTGAAAACTTTTCAGTTAACTTGATAAAAGTAGAAGAAAATGATTTTTGGAAGGACTTAAAACCTCAGCTTTTGTACACAAACTTAATTGAAAGACTCATTTTGCTCTGCTCCAAATAAAAATAAAGTCTCAATTGTTTCTCGCATGGCAGGCTCTGCTGAAACTGGATGTGAAAAATTCCCATTTTCAGAAGCTGATGGAAAACTTCTGGAATATCCAAATTAATTGGGCTTGATTGTTTTTGTGACTTTTTCTTTTTGTTTGTTTCTACAGTCAGTCTAGTGAGAATTATTGACATGGCAATGTGCTGTTGAAAAGGTAGTCAGAGCCAAGGGATCTGGAAAAGATATGTTTTATTCAGCGTCAGGCTTCTGCCTGCTTGGTTGCATGTGACATGGGACTTTGGATAATGCTGTTGACAGTAGTCAACAAAACATTACATTTTAAGGCCAAAGTGTAGAGTGCTAAACTTCAGGAAAAGGATCTTGAATACTTATTTTTATAGGCACATAGCAGTTGAGGTTTTATTTTCCAAAGCTGGTAAAGTGGCTAAATTTGGGTGGATTTTCCTGGAGATGGCAGAAAACATTCTTGCTCTAGTGCCAATAGTTGCCAAAGCTTTGGGTTGCATTCTCAATTGTGGGGTGGGTAGAGCCAAACAAGGCAAAAGTTGAAAGCTTTGTATTGTGGGCGAAGCAGCATACTGTTTCTTCATTTTAATTCAGAAACAGCTGTATTGCTTTAGTTAAAATTAAAAAAAAAGATAAAAGAAATGGCTTGAGGCATACACCCAGCATGTAAGCTTTCAGCCTAAAGCCTGGCAATGGCAGAAATAACTGACAAAGGGCATTATACTGGAAAGTGTTGGGCAACTTGGATAACGATGACTGATCCTTCAGATATGTTTAAATGGAAACATGCAATGTCCATTGTTATATTAGGTTTCTTGCTTGAAGCTGGAATTCTTTCATTAATATAGAAAGAAGTACTGAAGTATTTTTTTTTGCTGGAAAAAAATAAATGCCACTGTGCTGAGAATTGTGCAACTTGGAAATGTTGGCCAGAAATGCTAGAGAAAATCATTCTGTTAAGTACCCTTTTAAGTTAACTCCAGTTTCTGTATCTCAAACACTTTAATTGTTTTTTTTTTGTTTGTTTGGTTGGTTTTTTTTTAAATTTGAGCCATCATGGACTTTTTTTCCCTTTCCATACAGCTCCCGTAACTTGCATATGACAATAGCTCATTTGCAGCTACCAGAAGGTGCTGGTAGCTTTAGTGGCTGTGTCAGATTTTGCTTTCAGTGACTTTAGCCAAAACCCAAGTGCTAAAATAGGCCCTTCAATTTCATTGGCAAAAATGATATGCTACACGTGAGATCACCAGAGATACGTCCCCAGAGCAGCAAAGGATTCAACCATTTTTCCCGTTGCCATCCAGCCATGCAATGCTGAAAAGCCACAACACTGTCAGCCTGTTGGTACTGCTCCGACACAAAGCCAGGGCTTCCCGTTTCACCTCCTGCTGCCTTCACACAATCTTCTGCATCCTGTGGTGCTTTGGCAATGCATGAGGTGAGACGCTCAAGCAAACGACCTTTGTCTTGAGTCCAGTGCCTGGTATTAGTCTGAATGGCAGTAATCTGACTGATGGAAGTGGAGCTGTTGCCAGTTTTTGTGAGATAGGTGAGATCAGAATTTTAAACAGGCAGATGACTGATCAAAATGTGGCTGTTGAGGACCTTCAGCTCTGAGTTGCCCTTTCTTACATTTGACTGTACTCCAGGGTAGCAGTCCCTTCAAAGCTGGCTGCTGAGAATCCTTTTTTTCCCATTCTTTAGAAAAATGTGAGATTGATAGTATGAGGGAAGGATTAGCTTTTATATCTGAGATGAGGAAAGTAAAGAAGAACTTGTACATCATTGGCCTATGCATAATTGGTAATTGTCTTTAAAAGATAGCTGATGCTAATATTTTTAAAAGTGTTTTTTAAAAATACTGGTATGGTATTGAAAACTAGAGCTATTTCTAATTATTAAGATTGTAAGAGCAGGTTTCTCGTATTTAGTTCTACCTTCTTAATTTTTACTGCTTCATTTACAAAGAGAAGCCGTACACATCAAAATGGGAGAACAAAATATTAATTAAATGTTTATTTGGATGAGGCAGGGTTAAGAACCCAGCTCGCTGCATGAACAAAAGCAACTGGGTTTTTGATTTAGCAATGTCTGATTCAGGGGATGTTCTTACTCCAAATTCAGTCACCATGGAAACAAAACTTCTCTTTAAGCATGCTGTATCTTTGACGGAGCAAGAGGCTTCTTTTTGGCAGACATTTTTCCATCATCTCTGTGGATCATGAATACCTCTGGAATAAGCCACTTTCTTCTATCTCCTCTGAAATGCATTAAGTTTCAACTCTGCAATATGCATTGTTCTCTCTTGAAACAAAGGCATTGCTTTTCAACAGGATTTTGAAATCTCAGAAAATGCAAGATGTCTCTTTTCCCCCAAAACCATCTAAAAATCAGAAAGTTCACATGGTAAGAATTTCTATAAAAAGGTGCTCTGACTCTCAGAGGTAGCACAAGTATCAAGTGATGTGAAAATTGCTATGGTAACTACTTTTATTGTATTCTTAGGTAAAAAGTCACATAAAACCTGTGCAGACATGAGTGAGTAAGTGAAAACTTGCCTAGGGCAGAGCTCACATAACCACTCTCCATGTTGTCTGTCTCATTCCTGGAGCGGGTGCTGTGGGTGCCTGGCGCGGCGTGCTGTGCATGGCGGGTGGTGACCCAGCTGCTCTCGAGCGGCTCTTGGTGCTCCTGCTGAAAGGATTGATCGTGAACTACAGCCTGAATAATTGGCATAAAGAAAGCAAATGTGTGATGCTAAGCACTACACGGCTGATTATGTGTGATATTAAATATATCAGACCCTGCCTTTTCCCTCTCCAGAGTTATGAACCACTGCTTTGTGTCTGATGTGAAGAGAATCTCTTAATTTTTTAATCTGAAGAACCCCACAGATAAATACAGCCATGTGCTTCCATCAGTAGCTGTGATGCCTCTAAGGGTGACATTGAAACGGGGACAGACAGTAATGGGACTGTGCATCTCTGGAAGGGTTACCACTACTTGGGGTCAACTTTGAATGGGGAGAAGAGCATCCCCCCCTCCCCCCCAAAAAAAAAAACACAAAAACCTTGAGAAGGAGAAGTGTCTACCTTAAAGTATTTTTTCATTACATGGGCCTCACACTGCAGTGGTTTTCATTCAACTCTGTGGAGAGGAATGTCTCTGACGTTCAAGACATCAAAAGATCAGTGTCTCTGCTGCTAGGATTTGTTTTACTATTCCTGAAGTTTGTTAATGGTCGCAGGCAGACTCATGAAGGCTTTACAGCTGATTGTAGTAAATCAGTAGTAAAAAGGCTGAAGGAAGTCATGGCTGGATTTTAATTGCTTTATGGTGATCTGTAGAATCAGCATTTCTGGACCTCATTATACTAAGTACTATGTGAAAGTTAAAAGGAAAAGAGCCAGCTCTTGGTCTAAAGCTTTATAAGCCAAACACAGGTTACACATCCCAGAGTGCATGGGAGGAGGATTGGTGCTGGTTGCTGCAACGTGTGTTTGGCTTCTCAGATGGTTTTTTGGTGGTGGTAACACAGGAAACAGAACTGGTAAATTCCACTGGGTCCTTTATAACAGGATCTGGACAGATGTCAGCTTTCAGGTGTCACTTGTGTTTGAAGAATCCAGTCAGGAATTTTTCATATATGGTTAGTACACTGTTTAAAAACAGTAAAAGACTCGCTTTGAACATACTTGTAAGCTACCACGTTTGCATGTTTTACCTCATCCAGAAAATTATTCATGTCTGTTACCTGCTTAAAGCTCTGAGAACAACCTCTGTTAACAAGCTACAACTGCACACTTTTAATGTGTGACATTTTGGCTTTTTGTACCAGTTTTTTTCAGACAATTCTGCAAGCTGGAGAGGACTTGGTGTTTCATAAAGGATTATAGGTTTTGGTTCACTGACCTCATCACCCACTGTGCACATTTGATACCAGCCTTGTAGCAAGATGCTTGAGGACTTCAGGTTTAGGCTGGAAGGTCAGTGTCTGTTAAGGGTCAGGATAACACCAGGTGTGATAGGGCCTTGCTCTGAACAAAAATCTCCTGGGCTGCTTTAGCAGAGACCATTAGAAGGAAGCAGGTGTGTATCAGTAGTGTTTGGATCGCTGCAGGTATAAATCCTTTTATGCAGCAAAAAGTGTATCTCCATAGCTATTTCCAGCACAGTCACATAATGAAGCATTAAGGATAGTTTCAAAAATTTTGTTTATAGAGGGCTCTTCTTTTGTGTCTCTACAGTTGTATCACTTAAAGCTTTGACATTTCACTCTGCATTATTGATACAAACCATGAACTTATTGTACTTGTTGTATGGTACTCTCCCAGGTGTTCTCTGAGGAGGAAATTGCTCATTGCCAGCTGAAGTCTTGTTCTCCTCTTGGAGTTTCTTCCTACTCATGTTTTGCTCCATGGAAGAGTTTTGCCTACTAGCAACTTCACAATTCAAAGGAAGCTCAAGGTTGGATGATGTCATCAAGAGGTCTGTGCCACATTGCTATTTGGCTTTGCCAAATAATATATTTGCCAAAGAAAGCTTTCTATGTTACAAAGAATTTGGGGATAATCTGTAACTTTTAGATAGAGTAGTACGTTGCTGTGTTGCATGGATGGACTAGTTCAGAACAGCTTGTTGTTCCTGGAAAATAAAGATGTGATAGCCCTGAAGAAAATATTTCAGGGACTGTGAGAACAGTCAGTAGAGGAATGGCTATCATTGCCAGTCTGTCAGAATTAAGGAAATGAACTCAAAAGTATCTGGTGTACGAAAAAGGCCCTACCTAGAAATACAGGTGACGACAGAAGAAATGAGCAGCAGTGCTTGGAGGTACCACTGGAGAAAATGGAGAAATACGAGACTAAAATGAAACTGAAATTTGTCAGGTAAGGAAGAAAAAAGGGTGGAATAAAACCAAAGTAAGTACGCCTTTTCTGCATTTATTTGGATGTTTTATTCTTTTATATAACTAACTGAAAACCTGGTGCTCAGTGATCTGGCTGGTCTCATGCAGGGTGGTCTCCAAAGGCTCCCTGCCAGAGTGACTGAAAGAAGCTTCAGGTGCTGCAGCAACAGCGGAGGTGTCTGGGAAGGATGAGCAGGTAGCTGAGATCCAGATACTTGATTTTGTCCAAAAGGCCTAAAGCATGGGGATCCCAGGGTCCAAAACCTATTACTTAAAGAGTTCATCTGAAAGAAACTAGGAGATAGGTGAAATACAGCTCACCAATAACCACTGTGTATATGTAGGTCTGAACTGAGCTTTCCCTTGGGTGTCTGATTTCCAGCCTGACATTCCCGTCACTGAACATTTTTCACTTACCTTCACAGTAGTGGGACTGACAGTACTAAATGCCAGGGAAGCACCCAGCACTCTGCAGGATCCTTACCCTGTAAATGGCTTTAAATTGCTCTGGAATTTGTATGCAATTCTTACATTTCAGTGTGCTACATTGGCTCAGGATGGCTGCACCATCGCTTCCGTAAGCTCCCTACAAAATTTTGGTACTTATTTGTCCCATGTTTCATTGGGAAACTGAGTTGGCTAAAAGGAGAGGCCAAAGACTAGAAACCCTGATTTTTTTCTTTCAGCTCTTTCCACAAATGGTGTTTGGGTATATTAAAGGTAGTAGTAGGCCTGAAGCTTTTCCTCTCTCTAGAACAGTGATTTGGGTTTACAGCATTAAATCCAAAGTATAAACTGTTGCATTTTCCAGCTTGCAGTAATGAGCAGAAACTGAAAAATCTAAAGTAACTGAAAAGCACCAGAGCACATAATGCTGTGACCTTGAAAGAGAATGGAAAGGCTCATGGCACTAAAAATTCATAGAAAGCATCACCCAGAGACAGAATCAGGGCGTACTGCAATGGAAAAACCATGACATTTCTGTATTCGGCCATGTCGTCTATGAAATGCCATAATGGCGTAGCTTGGTATCATTGACCCTTGCTTTTACAGAGTGTTTTAATTGAATTAATCCAGGTAACTAGAGATGTCTTAAAGATATTTGACTTGATTTGTTTGAAAAATGGGTCTGTCTGAATGTGTTTCCCTTGTTACAGTAAATAATCAAATGTGTAAAGATGTTAAAATCAAATTAGAGGCAGACAGGCTTCAGCTCAGCCTTCTTGGCTGCAGGCAAGAACAACAGTGCTATATGCCCTAAATCTGAAAGCCAAAGGGACTTCCAAAAAAGTTCCTGGTAGAATAAGGTAAGAAAAATGGCCTATGCTCAGCAGCCTAGCTATTTGTGTATTGAAAATCACATTCAATATTTAACTGAACTTTTTCTTGTATTGGTAAGAAATGCTCATTGGGAAATGTTACAGTGGAAGATTTGGTACTTCGGGAAAAAAACAGGTTGTAGAGGACAGATGCCAAGGCACCGTGACTTTTCTAAATTACTGTGCAAACATAGCAAATAAAGCAATTTTTTATTTGCATGATACCTTACAATCAATATTCAGTGCACTCAGCCCCTGAGCTAACCAAGCCAGCACGCATCCCTGGCCACACGTTGTCCTCCTCAGTGAGAGAAGGGGTGTCATGATGATCAGCTCACTTGTGCTGATCTGCCAGAGGGTTAGATAGTTTGTATGCAACTATTTACTTGTATTCTTCAGTAGTCTGTTGTCATTTTTTCATACCAGTCAGTCATCATCCTTATGTTTCATGGGTGAAGAGTTGTACATGAAATAAAGTGTCAGCATTTTTCCTGATGTGCGTGACAGAGAGTTAGTGTTTGCAATATACTCGCACAACAATGCATTTGACAATGTGGGGTAATAGGGTGCCATGTGGAATTAATTTCCTGAAACAATGGAAGCACCTACCTTCTCCAGAGTATTTTTACCACTATTGCAACGTTAGACCACTTTGTACAACAGTTGCCATTTGCTGTCACTGGTAATTCTCTGCTCAACAGACATGCAGTCAGCATGGGCCTGGTACCAAGTGGGTGTGCTCAGACCTGCAGCCACAGGCATTGGCATCAAAAAAGATAAAGAAACACTCAGGAGCTGCCTGAATCGGTTAGATGGTGCTGCCTGATGTATTGTACAGGGCACAGAAAACCAGAATTAAAAAGCAGAGGGAGCCTACAGTCTCGCTTGCATCGAAGTTACTGATTTGGGCATGTTCGTGGGAGTGGGAGTGAGGAAGGGTGGAAGGAAACGGCATGGTGGGATTTAGGATGCTGAGAATGTTTTGTGTGAATGTCAAAGTGTGAGTCCACACATCAGAATACTGTTTCTTGCTACTAGAAAAGACTAAATCACTTCAGATTGGAGTGGTAATGTGCAAATCTTTTTTCCAACTTGAATCACGATATAGTATTTTGAGATTACAAACCATTAATATGGCTTCTCAGCTCCTGAGGTAAGCTGCAGAGACCCTGGGTCTCTTCCCTTCTCCATGTAAATCCTGAGGTACAGATGAATGAACAGCAAAGAAAATGTGTTTGTTTAGTAGCTGCTTGCTGTTCTCCTAAGTCAGCACTAAACCAACTCATCAGCAAGTCAGGAAGGAAATGTAAAGTTGTCATATCTCCTGTACCCTTTTAAATCAAAGCCCCTGCCCTCTTGTGAGCTTTGAGTCCATGATGAACACAATCAGGCTTCAGTGGTCCCCATAAGGGGCTTCCAGATTGAGAAATATTATCAACTTTCCCCTGATTTTCAGAGGGAATTCAGAGTCTTTGCTGGCCTGAAGTTTTCCTAGAGGCTGTTGAACATGTGCTGTTTGTTACTTGAACTTGCACACTTGTGATTTACATGAAAAAGGTACAACTTTTCACTAGGGTATGGTCTGGCTTTCAAAAATGGATGGTGTGGTCAGTCCCGTGATGGTCAGTGTTCAGAACGTGTCTGTTGGGGGTTGCTGAGGTCCTCTCCAGCCTCTCTGTGGGAGGAGCAACTCCAGTTTCTGTCTGTCTAGTAAATGTGCATGTGGGAGTTCAGTTAATTCAGGCGCTCTTTGGAGGCCTTCACTTGTTTGGATGAGGCTACTGCTGAGATGTAGGGCTGCAATCATGGTCCGACAGATCCTCCAATTGCAGGTCTGAGTGCATTAGACTCCTATTGCTTCCTCTGCTGAAGGCCAGTCTGCCCAAGTGGGGAAGACCACTCTTCTGGGTAAGTTTGGCCCAAAGGTTTTTTTTTTTAATGTCTCCAGCTTTTCTCTAATCCCCGAGCCAAAAAACTAACTGAACTTTCAGCCTCTTAATATGAGTGGAGAACATCCTGAAAATAATTGCTGCAAACAAAATTAATCTCACACTGCCTGCAGAATACCCCTGAAGGATTGCCTTCTAAGTGCTTGGAGTTAGATAAGAAATAAGCTCTCTTAGTGATGCGTGTGCTTTCTAAATAAACTCCTTTTAAACAGACTTGCTGCTTAAATCTGTTTATTTACTGTGGCACATTGTGCAGATTAGGCTTTAAGGAGCTCAGCGACCAACATCACAGCTTTTACATAAGTAAGATCTGAGGAAAAATGGGAGTGAGATTTCAAATATCCCATTAATCTTTTCACTTTAGGTCTGAGCCAGCTTCAAATTGCACCAAACTGCTGCCAAGTGTGAGTGTGTTTCAGTCCAAATAAAGGAGACTTGGCAGGTCTGAGCCACAAGGCTTTGTTTCAGGAGTGTTTCAAGGAGAGGGGAGACTGCGTTTTGGTTGAGACTCTGCTGAAGCGGTGCAGTGCTTCGTGACAGCTGTCTGCCAGTTGGCCCCAGCTGCACACGCTGAAGATGCACTTCTGGTTTTTACATTTCTTTGCTTATGTTTTTAATCTGCAAGTACAGAGGTAGCTGTTAAAATGTTTGTACATGGGAAGCCTGAAGTTAGATGTGACTTAATCCCACACACGTGTACAAATCAGCCTCTGCTGGTCACTGTGATTTAAGACTTCACTTTGTGGATCAAGTTCTCCTGCTCCCAT